AAAGGAGCAGGAGGTGCCTTTCTGCACCTGAAATGGCTTTCACCCTGTGCCCCCTTAGCGTGGTGCCCTGAAACGTGCGGGGTTCTGAAGAGAAGCAGCATTTCAGAGCCCTTCAGAGCTTCAGGACTCTTTTTTCACTCTTTATCCCGTGTGTAGTACCAAAAAACCTCCCATTTTAGGGAGAGAGTCAAATATACATGATAGGAACATTCGGCTGTAAGTTTGGGCAGTCCTTAACTGCAGCCTGTGTGGCAACATAGAAATTACTACATAGCAGAGGGAGTCAGTTGTTTCTTTCCCAGTCAGCTCTTTTTTTTTTTAAATAAAGAGCCTCACAGCTTTATTTTTTAGTACAGATGCAATATTGATTTTCCCCTTAGTTCATCACATGCTGATAACGACTGCTGAGGTCTCAAGGAGGTTAAAGCACGTTCAACACAAGGCATAGTAAAAGTCAGAATGACTTTTGGACACTTAATGGCACTTACGGGTGTCAGGAAAAATAAGATTAATTTTGAAGAGGGAGGAAGAAGGTTATGCAGGTTTTTTTATTGCTGTGTAGCTGTTTATCAGGCTGTCTGGGCTGCAGCACAACATTGACTTCATGTCTGTTTTGCATTTCAGAAGTCACCACAGTGACTGTGGCCAACGTTGGTGCCTCTGCAGACAATGTTTTCACTACTTCTGTGGCAAATGCAGCTTCAATCTCAGGACATGTGCTGGTAAGTCTTTCATTTGGGCACCTTAGTAGAGCCCTGTGTACTTTCAGTGTCAACGAAGAGCTGTTTGTGTTGGAGCTGTACTGAGGCCAAAGATGTGTCTTCATTGCAGTGTGCAGGTTTATAAGCCACAAAACCATTAGCTGGGGGATGTACGGTTTGGGGGTTTTTTATCACTTGAAGAGTTTTTTGGAGTTGTTAGTTTGTTTTTCCACCTTTCCGCTCCCATACACTCATGTGTAACGGCGCTGATGACCTGCAAGCTGTAACCTTTGAGTTTGATTGGTTGAAATCTCACCAACCAACCCCATGTGTTGGGGTCGGAGGGACCCCCGGGGGCGGCTCCTGTGAGAAGCTGCTGAAAACTCCCCCCCCTCTCCGGCCTCAAAAACCCAGCCCCGCCTCTGGCCCAGGCTGAGCCCATCAGCGACAACGGCCTCTGCAATTAACATATTCAAGAAGGGGAAAGGAGCTGCTACAAGACCTCGGGGAGAGAGAGGAGGTGAGAGCAAGGCTGAGGTTCCAAAGGCGTTCAAGAAGGAGGCGAGAGAAGGTGCCCCGAGACGGAGGTTCCTGCCGCCGGTGGGGAGATGGTGGGTTGTCCCCATGCAGCCCGTGGACCCGCACGATGAAACAGCCCGTGAAGGACCACGGGGGAGCAGATGTGAACCTGCAGCCGTGGAGGACCCCGCGCCAGGGGAGGTGACTGTTCCCGAAGCAGCCTGTGGCTCTGTGGGCAGGCTGTGCTGGAGCAGCTCCCGAGGGACTGCTCCATCCCTCCTGGGAGGGACTCGTGGCAGAGAGGTTCGTGAAGGACTTGCTCCCGTGGGAGGGTCCCCACGCCGGAGCGGGGGAAGGCCGTGAGAAGCATCCCCCTGAGGAGAAAGGAGCGTCAGAAAACAACGAACTGGCTGTAAAATCCCATTTCCTGCCCCCCTGCGCCGCTGGGGGAGGAGTTAGAGAAATCGGGAGTGAAGTCGTCAGGGCCCTGGAAGAAGGGGAAGAGAGGGGTGGGGTGAGGGGTTTTAAGCTCTGGTCTTTGTTTCCTCTCTTGTTTGCGTCTGATCTGTGATCAGTTAAGTTGATACTTTTTCCTCCCAGTTGAGCCTGTTTTGCCCATGACCGTGACTGCTCAGTGAACCCTCCCTGCCCTTGTCTCGACCCATGGTGATTTTAGATGGATTTTCTCTTTCCCATCCCACATTTTACTGAGGGGATTTGAGCAAGTGGCAGCCTGGTGTGCTTTGTGAGTGGTGCTGTGGGGTCCCACTGAGAAGATTTGGGGGGAATACTAAAATGCATTGCTACTGTAACTCCATCCGTTTAGACTCTTTTGTTTCTTTTGTAGTCTGGGAGAACGGCCCTCCAGATCGGGGACAGCTTGAATCCTGAAAAGGCCACTCTCATCGTGGTTCACACCGACGGCAGCATTGTAGAAACCACGGGGCTGAAGGGGCCCTCAGCACCTCTCACACCAGGTACAGGGCAGTCTGGTTTTGAAGTGTCACCCTCCCGGAGGGGTGGCTTTTTTTCCCCAGTTGTGTTGCTAGGAATTCAAACCATGATGTGCATAACGTTACATAGTGGCCTTGTAAGGATGGTTTGTCCCCTCTTCAGGTTGTGGGACTTGTATTGCTTGGAAGTAGAGGAATACTTCAGATTTATTTATTTATTTTTCCTGTCAGAAATATATTTAGTTTTCTTATTCTTTGCCCTAACCCTTGCAAATAAATAAGCTTCTTGAAAGATCTTGCTCTGCTGCCCTTGCCTACACCAATCCCACCCCCCAAGGCAGGTGAATCAACCTAATATTGATCATAAAAGTACTGTGCAGTCTACTAGTACTGCACATGGCTTCTTTCTAAAGGGTCCCTGAATCTAGTTGTACCTCCATTCAGGCCGCTACTGAATATCGCGATAGCTGTTGTGTCTTTGCTGCCGGGGTCTGTTGCTCGCGGCTGCTTGGCACTTTCCTTTCTGCCCACCAGGCGGCACCGCGACCCTTCCCGCCAGCATTTAATGCCCTGTTCAAGCCTCTTTCCTGCCGTTCTTTTCATGAGTAGTTTCTTCTCTGTCTTCCGTTTCTTCACTTGGCACTTGCCCCAGCCGAGCCGAGGGCGTGAGGGTGTAGCCAGAGTGTTTTGGTTGCTGTCACCTTTCTCTTCTTTTCTCCAAAGGGCCGCAGTCTCCTCCTACTCCTTTAACAACCGTCCAAGAGAAAACTGGAACCAAGTATAACTGGGACCCCTCGGTGTATGAGAACGAGCTCCCAGTGAGGTGTCGGAACATCAGTGGGATTCTGTACAAAAACAGGCTTGGATCAGGTATCTGCCACCTTGGGTGAGGAACTGGGAGGGCTCCTTCTTCACAGGCTACTTTTAAGGTCCAATTGTGAGTTAAAAAAAGATCATTTTCTAGCCAGCCTAGTCCCTTTTGATATTATTGTTCTTCTCTGTTTTGCTCTTTTCTTCAGGGGCTTTTTAACATTTTTTTCTTGAATCTATGAAGACAGAGGCTGCTGTGCAGTGGGTCTCCCTGCTAATAAGTTGACTCTTCTAACAGTCATTTTGTCTGAGAAGTAGACACACTCCCGTGTTTGTACAAAGCTCTAAAGAATCCCTGCTGGAATGGGAAATGGAGCTTGTCCCCTGATGGAACCTGTTAGCTGCCTTATCCCCCCCCCATCTCGTTTCTCACTGTGGGAAACTGAAGGAGCAGGAATTGCCAGCCTGACTGCACAGCACAGCACTTGCTCCATGACTAGAGAGTTGCCTTCCCAACCAGAAGGATTAGAAATTTCAGTGCTTATTAAGGAAAGGCTTAAATTACTTCTGGTGGGTGAGTAGTTTTTGTGCTAGCTTTTTGCTGCACCAGTGAGCCCCAAAGCTGGAGCTCTCTAAACATACCCAGTCGTTGTCACAGCCAAGATAATAAATGGTCCTGGTTACCCCAGAGTGAGGAGCTGCAGCAGGTGGGGTCATATTTGGTGATTGCTGCAGAACAACTTCTGTTTTGTCCCGCAATTCCAGTATTTACTTCTTTAGGAAAGCAGCAAAATGATCCTTACTGTTGACTCACAGATGTCTTTTCCTTCAGGAGGCCGTGGCAGGTGCATTAAGCAAGGGGACAACTGGTACAGCCCCACAGAATTTGAAGCTATGGCAGGAAGAGCCAGCAGCAAGGACTGGAAGAGGAGCATCCGCTACGCTGGGCGGCCCCTGCAGTGCCTTATCCATGTAAGGTTCTGTTTGCTCCCTCTTCCCTGCTGGAGAGGGCAGGGGGAGCCAGGGCAGGGGCTGCAGCAGCCCAGGTTGTGCCCCAGCTTCTGCAGTTACTTATGGTGGTGCCACAGGGCAACCTGGAAGTAACGTATGGATTGGGTTGAGAAGGGGGGGTGAGAGAGGGATGTTTCTAGGAGTGTTTTCCAGTAGCACAGTACCCGTCTTGGTTGTGCTTGGAAAGGGATTATGGGTCATGGAGGATGAAGGCCAGCCTGGAGCTGGATTGCAGACATTGAGAAGTGAACCCTCACCCATGATCCTGTGATTCAATAACCTGATCTGCCTGATCCTGTTTGCCTGGCAAACACCTTCTTCACCTGCACCATTTATGGAGCTTTGCTTTGGGTCCTTTATTTCTTCACATGTCGAGGAGTCTCTTGGAGAACTGGGCACTGCCATTAGGCTGGCAGTTGAATTCTGCTCAGGAACAAACTCTTATCAAGTCCCAATTTCACAGATACTTGCCTTTTGATTTGAAAATTATTCTCCCTTCACTCTCCTCCCTTCCACTCACCCCATCACCACACTGCAGGGGAGCTGCCCCCTCTGTTACTCCGTAGGGTTCCTAGGAAGGAATGGGTACATTTCTCAGGAAGCTGTTGGAATCTTTTAGCAGAATCCAGCTGTGCTCCTGGTGGTTTTGGGGCTGGTGCTGAACTTGCAACCTCCTCCTTTCAGGATGGGATTTTAAACCCTCACGCTGCCTCTTGCACTTGTGCCGCTTGCTGTGATGACATGACTCTGGTGAGTTGGAGAATCATGGAATTGTTTTGGTTGGAAAAGACTTGAAGGCCATTGAGTCCAACAGCCATTAGTTTAAAAACAATTCAATTGGTGAGCAGATCATGAGGGTCCTAGGAATGTTCAGGAGAGCTGTGGCTGCAGTGTGTGTTGCTGTGTGAGGGCAGGAGGGAAGGAGCTGGGATTTTTTACTAAAATTTCTTAATTTTTTGAGCTGGAAAGAACATTTTCATAAGGATGTGATGAATACTCTGTGTGGGATCCATGTTCTCATATTAAACTGCTTGGGGTTGGTTTGGGGTTTGGTTTGTTGGTTAGTTTTTTTTGTTGAAAAAATGAAATTAAGGTCCTGAAAGCAGAAGCCTTTAGCTTGACTTGAAGTAGTTTTTTATATTTCTTTTCCACTATGAACTGATGATTTGCTTGTTTCCTAGACCTGAAACTGTTCCCTGTCTTCCCCTCACCCTTGATCCCTTTTCTTCCACCAGCAGTCAATTACTTGCCCAGTTCTGCTCCTTAAATCATAGTGGGAAGAGGCTGAATCTGTGCCACTTCCCCTGGAAGGAGCTGAGCCTCACTTTTTTTTTCACAGAGTTCTTTTGGGTTGGAAAAGTAGAATTTTTTTGGTCAGTTGTTGCAAACCACACCCCTCCATGGGTGTATTTGGTGCTGACCTTAGCTGCATGTGGAAGGTTGAGAAGTAAACCCAAAGTCCCCAGGAGACCTCAGCTAATGCCTTCTCCTCTTCTCTCCTGTGTGTGTTGCCCAGAGTGGCCCGATACGACTCTTTGTACCCTACAAGAGGCGGAAAAAAGAGAATGAAATGCCTGCAACTCCAGGGAAGAAGGATTGTTCCAAAAACATCACTCTGCTCCCTGCCACAGCTGCCACCACATGTAGGTTCTTTGGTAAAAAACACTTCCCTTTTTAGATGAGGAACTGCCATGCTAGATACTTCATGTCCCTCAGTGGCTCCTTGGAACTGCTCAGCTGAGGAAAAATGTCTTTTATTCTTTGCCACTTCCTTTTTCTTGGGTAATTTTATTGGCTCAGTATCTTGAGCTGATTCCACTTCCTGTTTTGTAGAAACTGGCACCGTGTTGCCACATTGAGGCTGCAAGCTGAGTAGGGGAAAGTACAGCTCTAGACCTTGAGGGGACTGGATTTTAAGCACATCCTCTAGGATTCATATTTTGTTCTGAGAGCTGGATTATGTTGCCCCTTCTCTCTGCTCCCTCAGCCTGGCGGGGCAGGGGGAGTTGTGAAGTCCTGGCCTTGATCCATAGCAAGTTTCAGGTGGCTTAGTCACAAATGACAGTGGAGAAATTTCCTCCCGTTAAAATTAGGTTGAAGGGAAGACTGGCCCTTCTCTGCTCTGCTGGGAATCCCCATTCCATGCCCTGAGCTTGGTTTTTGTCCTTCAGAAGCTGGTGGGGGTGGAGTAAGATTGGTGCTATTTCTTGAGATAGTAGAGAAGTGGGCTCTGAGCAGCTGGAATGAAACCCACAGCATTGAAGTTGTTAATGAAAGAGGCAGAAGGTGATGTTTTCATCTGCAAATTTGCTCTCTTAAGATTCAGAACACGCTTTGTTACTTACTGTTGATGATTGTTGAACCATCTGTGTGAGAACAGAAATTAATTTGCAAGCTCCTCCAGCTCACATGTTCCCAGCCACACTCATGTGTCCTCCTGCTCTCACCACCATCTGGATGGGAACAGCACAAAGTGAATGGAGGAGGAATCAGCAGAAACCCAATGAAGAACAGTCAGAAGTAGGGTTGAATTAGCAGTGGCAGCAGGCAGAGAAACACACAAGGATTCTAGAGAGTTTTGGGATCCTTTTTTATCCCCAAAGAGGTTTAATCTGTATTTTCATTCAGGTGAGGTGCTGTGCAGTTGTGGGTTTGCTTCTACTGGCTCTGGGGCAGGGGAGACCTCTTGTTTTGGTAGCAGCAGCCACATTGTTTCACCAGGCATGAATCTGAAGTCTTCCAATTGAGCTATTGTTTGGGAGGAGATACCCCTGGCCGAGCCACAGAACCAGCCCCTCACCAAGCAGTGGTGCCAAGTTAATTAATACTGGTTAAAAAAAAGGGTTTAAACATTTTGGAGCCACTCAGATCTGTTAATCCAAAAGGATTTTGTGACTTGTTCCTTGCATTGGCTAGGGATGTGGTGTCACTGGGTGCAGACAGACAGACAGCTAGAATTGCCCAGCTAACCAGGCTGTCACAGAATTAATTGTAATCCATAGGGTTTTTTTTGCTGATTTAAGTGATAAGAACCACTCTCTGCCTAACTTGTAACAAATCAGGATCAGCCAGAAACTGATGGGTTTTGTGACCCTGCTGGATCTTTCTGGTGGGTGTTACATTATTGCTCGAGTAATAATTGGAAAGGAGGTGACTGGAGGAGTGTTCAAGAGAACATTCTGGCCTGGAACACCCTGAGGATAAAGGGATCTCCAGGACACCAGCAGCTCCTTCAGGAGCCCCCCAGGGCTGTTATCCCCATTCCCAGCTGTACTGGGAGGAGGTGTGACCCAACTGCGGGTGATCACAGGCCACCTCCTGGTCTGTCATCACTGGGTGATTCAAGATAGGGATATCAGCAGCTAAAGGCCTCTGTGCTGAGTGTTCATTAAGGGAGTGCTTTAATATTTGCAGTCACTGTGACCCCCTCTGGGCAGATCACCACCTCTGGGGCCCTGACCTTCGACCGCACCTCCACTGTGGAAGCCACAGCCATTATCTCAGAAAGCCCATCCCAGGGGGATGTTTTCACTGGAGCCACAGGTGAGATTGGAGGTGACATCTGGTGGGGTTGAGGAAAAATAGGTTGGGATGCCCATTGTTCTGTGCAGAAGCATTTGGAATGCTGCACCAAGGGTTTATTTCTCCAGGTCTTACAGTGGGACTCTGCATCACCCCTTGTCCTCCCTGGGGAATCATTTCAGCAGTCTTACCAGCTGCAGAAAAGAAGTTAAAAGTTGTGCCCAGATGCTGCAGGTGCTCAGGAGCACCTCTGCTGATCTCTAGGGGTTTATGGTCATCTCTGTCCTTTTTTTTCACTCCTCCTTTGTTTTAAAATACTATTAAAAATAATACTAAAAGCTGAGGGTTGAAACTAAGCAAAAAATGCTGCATAAATGCTGAAAAATGCCAGAATAAATTAAAATATAAATGCATGACATAGATTTTTTGTTTTGTTTGATTTATACATGGGGTTGTGAGCTCTGTTGAGGGAACTATCCTGCTCTGAGAACTGGAGTCAGGTCCTGTGATTATTGCAAACGGATCAGGGTACAGGAGGGAGGGCAGCAGCAACTTGGGTCTCTGGGAGTAAAGTCAGAGGGAGATGGAATGAGTACAAAGTTGCCTTGCTTGCTACCTGTGTGGGATTGTGCTACTGTTTCCTGCAAATCCCTGGGACTATTGCGGAATGTAGAACTTGTATAAAATGTAAAAAAACCCAAACAAAAACAGGGTTGAGAGAAGGGTTGAAGATCAGCTGTTCCTGGGCATTTGTAACACTGTTGTTGTCGTGCAGTTCAAGACACCAACGTGCAGCAGCCCTGCCGGGTCAGTCACCCAGAGCCTCACTACCCCAGCTACCAGGACAACTGCCAGATTTCACCCTTCCCCGAGGCTGCGCTGCCCACGGCCCATCCCAAGATCGGTACGTCCTGTTCTGGGAGGTGCAGCTGGCACTGCTGGAGCTCAGTTTGCATTGTCTTTCTCAGCCAAGATTGAGGCAGAAAAAGAAACTGTTCTGCTTTGCTCCCAAGTTGTGTGATTGTTAAGCTTTGGACAAGCAGATTTTCCACTCTGGGAAGTTTTTCACTCTGTTGTTTGGAGCTGTTGGTTCCTGCCTGAGGATGCTGGTCGTGTCTGATTTAATTTTCCCCATTCTGGGAAGTTTCTCTGACCCTGACCTCACTGACACAGGGGTGCTGTAGGGCAGGGAGGGCTGAATCCCTGGGCCTGTTCTCTTGGGCATCGAGGAAAGATCAGGCAAACATGGAATATTCCTTTGTGCAGTCTGGAATCTTTCAGAGCCTGTTCTCCTCTTGGTCTGACCTTTTATGTTCTCGTTTGGAGCAGTAGAGAGTGTTCCTGCTCAGTCCAGAAAGAAATCTTGTTGATTTTAATCCTTAGTCACATCTTGATCTTACTAATTAAACATGGTTGGTTTTTTTCACCACTTAATACTTTCTCTAGACTGATAGACCCAGGCTGAAATGGGGGATTGGAAGTAATTCCAATTGGATAAGTGCTCAAGTGCCACTGCTGTGATAAATACTGTGCTGGAAATGTTGTAGGGGGAAAGGTTCTTCTGCAAATAGCTGCTGATAAAGGACTGGTTTATCTCATTCTTATCGAAGAGCAAACAGCTCTACACCATTCATGTGCAAATTGGTGGAAATTACTATTTTAATTAAGGTCTGTTGAGCCTAAAATGTGTACCTGGTGCATATGAACTGGCTGGGCTGCAGGTCAAGAAAGGGGTGGAAGGTGACAGTCCCTGCAGGGTCTGAGCCCCCTTCTGTCTCCAGATCTGGGCTGGGCTCTTGTAGCTTTTGCTGCCTGCATGGGAAAGTATCAGAAAGGCCTGGGAAAGGGTTCAGGTGTCAATGCACTGAAATTAATTCCTGTCTTCGAAAATGCTCAGTGTTCAGTGGAAGAGTCTTTGCCTGCAGGAGCTTTACCAAGGAGAGATTCAGAGCAGTGGGTGGAATGCTGGAATTGAGCCTGGCCCAGGAAGGTTGGCCTCTTGCTGCTCAGACCAATAGTTGCAGTTGAATTTTTTCAGAACAGGATTTATGGCTGAATGGTAAAGTACCATCTCAAGTGCAGCCCAGAAGACTTCCCAAGTGGAGGATCTGTTTGTTTTCAGTTGGGCTGTACACCCAGTTGTTCTGTGTCTGAGTTCTGGGGCTTGTTTCAGCATTTCTCTTTGGAGCCCCTTTGGTCAGACCAGTACAACTGGAAACCCAGAATCTGTGATGACACCCAGACCAGACTGTGATGGGAGAGGGACAATAAAGCAGGTGATGTTTTATTGGAGAACTTCCCTAAATGGTGCATTTAAATGCTGGCAGTGGTCAGTGCCCAGCAGGGCTGTGGATTCTCCAGGGCATTGTCTGTCCCTGGGAGCTGGAGAAGAGCTGTGCTTGGCAGGGCTGCTGGAGGTTGCCAGAGTGGTGCTTCTGGAAGGGAAGCAGACTTGGGATGGGATGTGGGATTGAAGTGGCTCAGGACTCCTGAAGTGTCACTCAGCTTTTGTTCAGCGCTTTTCTGATGGCCAAAGCATCCAGCAGCTGGAAAGCTCCTGCACTTACCGTGTGACTGTGTCACTAAGAATTTAAAATCAAGGAAGTGACCTGGCTTTTGGTGCCTGGAATAATAACAGCTCTTCACTTGACAGTGCAGAGCTGTCCAGGAGGGAATGTGGTCTCTCAGCCTGCAGTACTTCCTGTTGCTTCTGGGTGCTGAATCGGCCTGAAACTCCTGCCTAAAGACCTGAGGAAAATTCCAGATGTAGTAGGTTTTGGGCATAATGAGACTGCACAGTCCCAGAGCTGGTGGTGCCCTCTTTTTTTTTTTTTTTTAATAAACAAATTCTCCTGAAGTGTCACTCAGCTTTTGTTCAGCGCTTTTCTGATGGCCAAAGCATCCAGCAGCTGGAAAGCTCCTGCACTTACCGTGTGACTGTGTCACTAAGAATTTAAAATCAAGGAAGTGACCTGGCTTTTGGTGCCTGGAATAATAACAGCTCTTCACTTGACAGTGCAGAGCTGTCCAGGAGGGAATGTGGTCTCTCAGCCTGCAGTACTTCCTGTTGCTTCTGGGTGCTGAATCGGCCTGAAACTCCTGCCTAAAGACCTGAGGAAAATTCCAGATGTAGTAGGTTTTGGGCATAATGAGACTGCACAGTCCCAGAGCTGGTGGTGCCCTCTTTTTTTTTTTTTTTCTATTAAGCAATTTAGAGAAGAATTTGTAGGATAGATGTTGGTAGGTGTAAAGGTCTTGGACTTAAATACTCACCATCTGCCATAAAATTATCACCGGAGCTAGAGTTACATTTTGAGGAAGTAAGGGCAGATACTCTTTGGTGCAGGGAATGTTGCTTGAGCTCCCACTGGGACTGTTTGTCTCCTGGGCCTGCATGGAATTTCCTCACACTGGGGTCTTCTGGAGCACGTGCAAGCCTAGTGTTGTGCAAAGTAGAGTGTTGGTGACCAGGAAGTGTTGGTTGCTTGAAACACTTGCAAAGGTAAAACTGAGACAGTCACTGCTGGTTTTCTAGGACTTTAATGCTCTGAATTTGATTTTCTAAAATTCCCTCTGGGAAGGGGCCCCAGTGACAGGTGGCCATAGATTTTAAAAAAGCAACCAGACCACACAGCAACAACAAAACCAGCCAAATCTCTCCAGTTTGAGGAAACAAACCACCCTAATTTTCTTCTTCTTTCTTTCCACCCAGTGTTGACCTCCCTGCCTGCCCTGGCAGTGCCCCCCACCACCCCCACCAAGGCCATGTCCCCCTCGGTGGTGAATGGGCTGGAGGTGACGGAGCAGCGGAGCTGGTTGTACCTGGAGGAGATGGTCAATTCCTTGCTCAGCACAGCCCAGCAGCTGAAGAGCCTGATCGAGCAGGCCAAGCAGGCCAGCTCCTCCTTCCGAGAGGCTGCAGTCACACAGGCCAAAATTCAGGCTGATGTGGAGAGGAAAGAGGTAATTCTGGTGAGGATCTGAGGGGTCTCAGCCCAAGGGCTCCTTCTTGGCTGAGTGACAGACAGAGCAGAACCTTGCTGGTGCCCGAGTGTCTCTGATCCTTTGGTTACCCTCTGAGTGTTGTGTTTAGTGGATGTATTAACTTAGGGGAAAAAACATCTGCGAAGAGAGTGAGCCAGGCAGCAAAGGCTCCGTGTCTCTTGCGAGGGAGAGTTGGCCCCTTGCAGGAGGGCCCAAGGGAGCAGGTTACAGAGGTCAGGGTGCTTGGGCAGTGTCATGTTTTTGAGTGTGCATGAAGCCATCTTTTAATAAATCACTGACTTCCAGAGGGGCAAAACTCCCCAAACTGTGCCAGAAGACACATTGCTGGAAGACAATAGATATTCAGGAAATGTGTTTAAAATAGTTTTTTGTAGAAATATAAAAGAATCAGTGTTAAAATCTAACAAGTGTTCTAATTGAAATGGTCTCTGTATGTGAGCCCAGCCTGTTTGGAAACAAGATGGAAGATTAATTCAGCTCCCAGCTGGACCTTTAGAATTCTTGTTTTTAGAAAGATAAGAACAGTTCAGGGTTAGAGAGTATGAAACTAACCTAGGAAGGGTCAGGCATTGAAGAAACATAGCTCTAGTGAGCAAACAATGGTTTGTGTCTTTCAAAGCAGCAGTGAAGCAGTTGAGAATGGGAGGTTATTTTCTGGAGCTGGTTTTGTGAGAGATCTGGATGTCTCCGGTTTGATTCTCTCTTATCCCACCTTTTCCTTCTCCATAGTTTCTGAGTATCTGGAATTCTTCACCCCCTGGCTGTGGTTCCATCAGCAGGTTGTGGGGCTGAGGGGAGGGCTGGAGGAGCTGCTGTGGCTGGGCAAAGACGGAGGTGGCTGGATTTCCTTCCTCTTGCTGCCTTTCTCACTGGCCATTTTCCTGGAGAACAGAATTAGCCACAGTTGTAGAGGATGAAGGGGAGTCTGGTGGAAGGACTTGAATTCTGGGACTGGAAGGGAGCATGTTCAGCCCTGCACAGGCTGGTGGGAGCTGGGATTACCTGTGCCAAGGTTTTCAAGCCAGGTTGAAGTTCCAGCTCACCTCATGCTTTGGTATCTGCATTTCCACTTTTCTTTACAAAAAAGGAGCCTAGAAACATGACATGGTTTCCTTAGGCCAGTAGTCCTGATATCCTTAAGGATTTTAAGGAGTGCTTGGCTGGAGGGAGGGGTCTGAGGAGGTGCTGCGGAACTGGCCCTTTGTCACCTCAGGCCATTTGCTCACAGGCTCCCCTCTCGGAAGGGAGGATTGAGGTTCCTCTCAGTCCTCTGGTAGCTGCAGTTGGGGTGCCAGGACCCTCCATGTGGAGCCTCTCTTGCTCTGGCTGGACCATGACAGGTCTGGTGTGTCTCTCCTTGCAGCAATACCAGAGCCAGTTATTCCAGCAAACAGAAGATGTGGATGGAAAAACAGAAATCATCATCAAGGTGAGCTGGGGCTGTCTCAACATTTTCTGACTGAAGAGCCTTTTGTTCTTTGTCTTGTTCCATTTAAAGAAACAGAGGTTTTGTCTTTCTTTGTTATTGTCACAGGAGCCATGTATTCTGACCTTGCCTTCCAGCACAGATCAGAGCTGTTCCAAATCCCCCAAACAAGCAGCTTTAAGCCCCTTTTTGGTGGCCTGAATCCCTCCGGCTGTACATCAGGAGCACAAATATAGCTCAGTCACAGCAGCTGTTAATGCTGGTCAGGTGTGAGCAGGGAGTGTGATGACCTCAGTGCTGACCAGGGTGTTGGTTTGGTTGTGCTCAGAGAGGAGCTGGTGGAACTCGAGACACCCCTAATACTTTCACAACCCAGAAACTTCCTGTGGCAGCCTCAGGCTGCTGCTCTGACGTGCTAATGATCTGCCAGTAATTTAATGAGCTGGAAAGTGCTCTGTGAAGTGCTGCTTTTTGTGGTAGTTCAATGATTTCCACCTAAACATCCAGGCTATGTTAATTGATGTCACTGGTACAAGATTAAAGTGATAGACACAAAAACAGCCTTTAAAATCCAGGTGTGATTTTTTTCACCCTTGTATCCTGTCTCACCCCAATTCCAGGTTTAGCTCCTCATTCCTGTTGCAGCCTTGATGTTACTGCTCTGTCTCCTGTTTCTCTGCTGATGTAGTGGCAAATGCAGGAGGCTGCCCAGCCCATAGGAAGAGATCCCTTTTTTCCTCTCAAAAAAACAGGGAAAGATTAATCTGAGGGGTCCCATCCTCACACCTACTGTCGTCCTTCCTCAGACCCTCTCTCAGACATGCCCAGGATTGCAAACCACACCAAAGCACCAACTGGAGTGATGTTTTTTTTGGAGATTACCTCAGAGCTGGGACACAGTAGCCTGTGTAGCCTGGGCGCTGCTGCTGGGGACACAGCAGCCTGGGTCAAGGATCTGCTGGGGAACAGGGGCCCTGCCACCTCTCCTGTGTCACGTTGTGTAACAGCACCTGTGTGAGCCACAGTGACCTCCCTGTTGTTGTCTCTGACCTGGTCTCTTTGCTGTCCATCCTCACAGCAGTCCTGTGCCAACTGCGGCCGCGAGGCAATGAACGAGTGCACCGGGTGCCACAAAGTCAACTACTGCTCCACGTTCTGCCAGCGGAAGGTAGGAGCTTGGCTGGGAGCTGCTCCTTCAGTTGGCTGGAGAGGGGGTGAGGGCCTGGGCAGGGCAGTTGGAGCACAAGCTGTGCCCAGGTTGGCAGCCCTGGCTCCCAGAACCCTCCCTGGCAGCTGCTCTCCAAGCAGGACTGAAGGGATGGAGCAGGTCTATGGGCCAGGGGTCACAAGGGGAGGATCACAAAAGCTCTACCTTGTAGTGTGCTGGCTTTCAGGAGAGGGTTTAAGTCAAGGTTCTGACTTTGTTTTGATAACTTTTCCATGACTTAACTGATGTTGATGTCCTGGATCAGTTTTGGGGTTGAGAAGGCAACATTCTGCTTAGTTTGTGTCCACCTCCAGCACTGCTCCAGCTTGTGGCTCCTTTCCTGTCTGTTGTTAGTGGTGTTTGGCTGAGGTCTGGAGACCTGTAGCCCATCTGTGCAGCTCCGATAGGGCTTCCCCTGTGGCCTTGAGGGATTCTGCAGGCTGACCCATCCCTTCATGGCTTTTCCCTCTGCTCTTCCCTGCAGGACTGGAAGGACCACCAGCACGTCTGTGGCCAGTCGCCCACGGTGACGGTGCAGGCTGACGAGGTGCACGTCGCGGACAGTGTCATGGAGAAGGTCCCAGTCTGAGCACACCCACCCAGCCCTTGGGCAGCGCCGGGGCAGCCGCGGGACCGGCCCCCCAACAGTCTGCCCTTTGCCAGCCACTCTTCTCACTATTGACTCATTTTTTTAAAGACTTTTTGATACTGTGACAGCATTTGCCTGCTCAGTCCTCTTCCAGACCTTGGGATAATACAGAGACTGAAAACCTGATCAGGAAGAAGCTAATCCCTTGACTCTGCCAGGCTGGAACCTCCACTGTGTGGATGGCAGAGATCTCCTCACCCCTCTGGAGGTGGGTCTAAAGCAGGTGCTGCAATGAGATCTGCCAGTGGGCCCTTCTCCCTGTGCCTCCCTACCTCGTGTTGGAAAAAGAAACAAAACTTTGGTTTATTTAATTGCCTTGACAAAGTCAGTGCAGGTTCTTATTTGCTATTGGAAGGACTTGTTTTTTGTTTGTGTTTTGTTTTTTTTTTCCCTTGTGTTTTTTGTGTTTTTTTTTTCCTGTGTTCCCTCTGTGCTGGACAAATTTGGAACACAGTGGAGCTTCTGCACTTGGATAGAAGTGAAAAATAACGTTGTTAAATAAAATGCAGAGAAAGCACAAGCGTAGCCCCTGGTGCTGTTTAGTTCCCTGGACAGCACCTTGAGGTGCTGGTAGATGGTGGTAAATGCAGCAGGTGGCTGGGAGGGTTTGTGGCTGCAGTGAGGCTTTCACTGCAGCTGTGGTTACACGTGTCTTCACATCCCAGGGGGCCACTGAGAGATGTGGTTGCTCCACAGGGAGGTGTGGTCTCATCCTGTGGTGGCCTGGGCTGTAGCTGCGGTGGCCACCTGGCCAGATCAAACCCACAGCAAGAGTGTATCAGCAGGGAGCTGTCCTGCCAGGGCCATTTAGCAGCCACTAATTAAAGAGGTCTGAGCTTTAGGAAGTTATTTCCTTCATTCACTGCAAGAAAATCGTTTAATGATTAATATATGTCTTTAATACTTTAGGCTAATTTGGCACCTTTAATTGAGCAACATCCAGGCTGGAGGAGTCTCAGCAGACACTCACATCTCTGGGGGTTTTGTAGCCTTGGGCAACAGACCTGTAAGGAGTTACTTGTCCTGTCTGGTCCATTCCAGCATTAGTGGGTGAGGAGGATTCTTGCTCAGCTTGTACTCCAAGAGGGGTCACCTCAGCACCACAGGAACCCCAACCCAGAGTCAAACACTGTCTAAAGGAAGAAACTCTACCCAGAGCTGCAGGGAAGGAGCAATGGAGCAAAACATCATGGAAAACCCTGAAGTCTTGTGCCAGTGGTTCTGACAAGTCCCTTCCCTCCTCCTTGAATCTGAAAGTGAGGTGACACTCCTTGTGTCACCATCCCTGGTGGGTGGCTGGCATGTCTGCAGTGCAGGTCAGTGCACTTGGTGGATGTCTCTTCCTTGCTGTCTGCTGGAAAAGCTTTTTCTCCTGGAGCAGAGCTTGGGGGCAAGGCAGGGAGGGTGAGGAGTTGGCAGGGGCAGAGCAGGGGGCTGCAGCCTGCAGGCCTCTGCTGAAGGAAACCATTCCCTGATGGAAAGCCAAGCACACACTGAGGCAGGATGGGAACAGAAATTACCTGTGTCATACTCCTGGGAAAGGCAGAACAGGCAAGTCCTTACATTTCCATAGCAAAATGCTTACTCCTGCTTCCCCAGAGTGATGCTTCAGTATATCTAATCGTTTCTTCTCACACTGTTAAATGCTGATTGCCTGTTTTCTAAAGCTTAAAGACAATGAGTTAATTGAAGAGAATCTAAACTGAATCCACAGTGACACGGCTCATTTGCAGGTTTCTTGCCTCTGTCTGGTGCCCATTAAGGCTCAGACCAACACCCTGTGCTGCTCTGGGCCTGCACAGGAGGGGGTGACAGCACATCTCTGGTGTTTGCAGAGCTAAAGCTGCATGGAATGTAAAAAATGGTGGCAGGTGTTTCTGTCACTTCAACCCTTTGGCTCTCCTTGCAGTCTCCACAGCCATCCCAGGATGGTGCTGCTGGTTGGAACCACAGCCCTGAGTGGATACAAGGACAAGAGGGGAGCAGAGACACCAGGTACTGATACACCAGGTACTGATGCTCAAGCACTCCTGCTTGTGCAGGTTACTGGGCAGCCCCTCACACCACCAGAGCAACTCCTGCTCCAGCCTTACCACACAGCCTGTTGCTGAGTGTAGCTGAGCCTTTTGGCCTTACTGCACCTCTTCAGGGGACAAAAGAACCAACCAAACAGGCAGAGAGTGGGGCAGGTTCTTTTTTAAATGAAAAACTGGTAGCTCACGTGTAACTCAAGCTCTCAGGGAGCTTGTTGTCAGAGCTCTGGTGTCTGGGGCAGCTGAGCCCCAAGGCAAGCTACAGAATGCAACAATTTACAATTTAATCACTGTGGGAATTTAGTGTGTTTATTACTTGGTGATAAATTGATTGAGCAATTGTTAGTCAAAGAACACCTTCAAGCCTCCCTGCAGTCCCTTTCTCCATTTGTTTCTAAGCAAACAAATTACCCCTTGGAAAGCAACAATCCTATACAAAAATCATTACTCAGGAAATGGCTGTTTCGTGCCATAATCATCTTCCCCCGAGCCAGAGGAAGGCACCAGCTGCTCCCTCTGGCTGCTCTTGGGGTCACTGGACTTCACCGAATGGTATCCAGGATCTTTTTCCTGCAAGCGAGAAATGATTCCTGGCAGACCAGACACCTAAAGCCAAAGCAAGAGCTGTTCTGAGAACTTCTGCTGCTGCCTGTGGCATCTCTTACCTTCTCAGCTGCCAAGTGGTAAAAACAGGGGCTGCAGCTGCAGTTTCCAGTGGGGAGAGTATCTGAGCTGCATCCACTGGTACTCACCTGGAAGTCCTTAATACAAAGAGCTGGGAACCAGCATCCTTCAGCTGCCATCTGGCCTCCTTCCCTCCTCCCCAACAAAGACAGCAGACCTTAGGCAGAAATATATCTTTAATGAACTATACAAAAAGGAGCCTGGTGGTTTCCTTCTCCCCCAGGGCTGGGGCTCAGCAGAAGAAGTGCAAGACTTTGCGGAAGAAGTTCCTGAACTCGGTGTTGAACACGGTGTAAATGATGGGGTTGAGGGCACTGTTGACATAACCCAGCCAAGTGACAGTGCTGGTGACTTGAGTGGGAATGGTGCAGGACTTGCAGAGAGCCCTAGTAATGTGGACCACAAAAAAAGGTGTCCAGCAGAAGAGGAAAGCACCTGCCAGAGGGACATGAAAGAGAGAAAGTGATATGAATGTGGAAAAGGGCTTAATTTACCAAGAACAGCCTGGGCTGAGGGAGAGGGGGGACAGCTCAGAGTGCTTGTGGAAAAGCAGCAGATGTGCTGACAGATAGAGCTGGGCTCACACCCAGACAAAACATTTAGGATGTCTTTTTCATCCTAAATGGTGATCAAAAAGTCGAAGTTATATATATGTGGTTTCAGATACACATTTAAGATATCAGGAGACACAGGTTTACCTTGAAGCCAAGGCTGGATAAGAAACACTGTACATGGGCCCTGTCTCAAGGGTGGTTGTTGGCAAAACTCTGGCTCAGAGGGATACTGAGATGGTCACTGGATAAACATCCCACCTCCTCCAGGAAGAAGACATGGTTCTCAGTACATCCCTTCCCATGGCTGTCCCAGCACTGTGCCTGGGCTGTGTGGCTCCAGCAGGGAACCCACAAAAGCAGCAGTTCACCTCATCAGGTTCTGAGGAGTCCTGCCAGCCTGAGCCCTGCTGCAGGACAAGGCCACCCTTTCCCCCTGCCCCACACCCTCTGCTACTCACCAACCACGACGGGCAGTACTCGCATGGCCTTCCGCTCCCGGCCGTTGATCTTGGCCCGCTTCCGGCCCTGTCCTGGATGGGGGTACTTGAGATGTGGGTAGGAGACAGTCTGGATCCCATTGCTCACCCCATAGTCCCCAGGGTGGTCGGAGTGGCCGTAAGGGTTGCACTCCCGTTGCTCCAGTCCTGTCTGCTCCCTCGGGATGAAGGTTGGGGGGTGATAGAGCCTCCTGTTGGCCCCGTAGATGCTGCCCCTTAGCTTGGCCTTCCTGGCTTCTTCCCAACGCTTGAGTCCTTGAAACATGGCGCAGTAGAGCACCAGCATGACGGGGCAAGGGATGAAGAAGGAGCAGATGGAGGAGTACACGATGTAGTTGTCATCCTCCAGCTGACACAAGCTAGGGTCCCGGTTTGGGACGTTGTTGAGCCCAAATATGACTGGGGATGCCACAGCAAAGGCAAAGATCCAGGTGGTGGAGATGAGGATCAGCTGCCGCAAGTCGATTTGTCGCCGGTTGTAGTTGAGTGGGATTGAAACAGCAATGAACCTGCCAAGACAGGCCCCAGGTGAGTCAGTCCCAGTATGGTGGTGTCACCACTGGTAACATGACCAAGTGCTCCCAAAGCTGCTTGCCCCTGTCCTTCCCCCTCAATTTGTTTACATACAACCAGTCTCCTCCCTCAGAAGAGCCCCCAGAGGGACAGCTCCAGCCTCCTCACACCACTGTGCATTCAGTTTGGTCACCACAAGGGTACTGATGGGACACTGGCAGGGCAGAAAACCCTCCTTAGGGGAGAAAAGGATCCAGCCTCCCTGCAAGGATGTGCATGGAAGTATCTCACTGCCAGGATACAGTGCTCCCCTGGCATGGGGATGGGGAAGGCACTTACCGGTCCACGCTGATAGCACAGAGGTTGAAGATGGAGGCCGTGCACAGCATCACGTCCATGGTCATCAGGGCATCGCACAGCGCTGTGCTGAGGGACCACACACCTCCCTGGAACTGAAAAGATCCCCAGGGTCAGCAGATGCCCTGTCCCACTGCCTGTGAAATGGCACCAAACAACTCGTGTCTGGGCACCACTCACATTCTCCAAACATGGAGCCTGACGTGGAGCAGTCCTGGTGGGACACTCTCCTTCCAGCTGCACATGAGAATTAGCCCCACCACGAGCTCACAGCTTGCTTAGGTCTTTGTGGTTCTGGTCTG